TACTGCTTATAGTCTATAGTAATATGCACACTTTGTAATTGTCAGCTTAAGGACTTATATTCCTGTGCCTAGATTTTCGAAGCTCTCTTAGCGCTAAAATAGTCGTAAGTGCCATACATTAACATTAACTTACGACTATCTTCTCGCTAAGAGAGCTTCGAAAAGCTAGGCCTTGGAACCAAACTTAACCTCCTTCACATGTGTCCGCCTGGACAATAGTTCAGATAACAAAAAACAATCGCTGAAAAGGATTTTGAAGAGTAATATTTAATAGACATGCAACATAAACACTGTAGTTGCATTTTGTACAAGCATTCGCAAACGTATAATACAAATTAATTCAAAAGAATTTTTTTAAAGAATCTTACAGCAAGAGTTATATTTATTCAATACTGCATGATGATATAAATTTCAAACGCAGAAGATACAACGCGGGCAACATATAGGCTGTCTTTGACTGAATGTAAGCAGAAGTTTTCCTTTAATGTATGCTGCACCAGAAATAAAAAACCCATTTAATCTTCACTTTGTTGATGTCACCACCATGTCCTTGGTGGTAACAAAAATAGATTAGCTGTATCTCGCCAAGTAAGGAACTGGCTCAAGTCTCAGCCACATTTCTAACTAACTGAAAGGTTTTGATGTGAGCCAATTCTGAAACAAGGCTATGACAGGAGGCAAACCCATTTATCTTTGAGAGGGTTTCTGTTTCGCTTTGTACCAAACAATCTCTGTCAACAGCATCAGCTAACTACAGATCAGTCCAGCTCCAGCAGTAAAGAAGATACTCTGGATCAGTCACAGGGGTTTAGGGTAGTCCAACACTGGACATCCGTCATCTTTAGTGGATGCAAACCATTCTTGATAGGTACGTTGCAGGATGCCACTGTCGCTCAGAAGGTACATGCTTATGAGGACAACATATAATCGTTATTAGTTTAGAATGTGACAAAAATCGTACAATGGATTGACGCTGAACAAATAATCGTTACTAGCATACAATATGACCAGGGTGTCGAACATATTCGAATCTGTTCTAATCATATTCAAATACTTTCCCAAGTGGCGTGATAACTAAACTCAAAGTAGCTAACTATTTAAGAAATACAGTTCCCTCTACCACCATGTATAGTGTAATAAAACACACTTTCGCCCTGAACTATTATAGTTAAAGTGCGAGGACTCTTGCGTCCGAGTGCTTTAACGTTATAATAGTTCAGGGCGAAAGTGTGCTTTATTACACTATACATGGTGGTACAGCGAACTGTATTTTTTTTCTAAGATGCCAAATTTAATACTTTCTAAGGATAATTACGATTACTTTAAGGCAGAAAACAAACAACGGTGTCGGTGACCTAAATTAAGAATCCTCGCACAGGGCTAACTGGCGCACTGTTCTATTGATGTGTCTGCCCCCCTACGTTAAGACGAACGTTACCAGAAAAAAACAAATGATAACAGTTTGATGACGGTTTACGTTCGGATTAAATATCTTCTCTGAATTATTTTAATTACATCTGTCATTAACGTAAACATATGGGGCAATATGAACGTCGCATTTCTACTACCAGCGTAAGTTTAGATCAGTACATCCAGATGAAGCTGAGTAGTCAAGCGACATTCCACGATTGCATTGTGGGAATGTAAACATTGCGAACGTTACCGTGTCGCTGAAAACTTGAGTCGAATTGACACATTTTAACCGTCGGAAAACATAAACGTAATGTTTCCACCAGTGATGTTAGCTGCGTGAAGCAACTGCAAACCAAGAAACGGGATGCAGCGGAGTAGTTTACTGTAGGAGGCCGTACGAGGCGATGACAACTGACATGCATCGTGACGTTGCTTACATTGTGACGTAATGTAAAATGGTTCGATTACGAGGGGGCACACTAGAATGGCGCAGTGACGGGATAACGTCATTCAATTGTTACATTATCAAAATACTATACCTTTATTGTCTGATGATGTTGTTCTTTTTCGATTGTTCTAAACGTTAGGCATCTTAGAAACTTGTATTTACATAACATATCTCAACTGGTTCCAGCAAGAGTTATCACTTGGGTAATAGGAAATAATGATCACTGGAACTTCATCGCAATGCTTTACAGACCAATGTCACATGGTCAGTTATTATGACGTCTCTATAAAATGATACCTCTAACCTCTCTGTCGCTGATGCTGGTTAAGTATTCTTTATAAACACAGGATACCTGTAATTGCTGTTTGAAAAGTGATTGTAAAAATTATTTTACAAAAGAAATTAGAATCCGCTCAATTAAATTTGGAATTCTCTGTATAATGGCATCTCTAACCCCCCTGTCGCTGAACCTGGTTTGGTATTCTTCCTAAACACTGGTAACTGGTAATTGCTGTTTACAAATTGACAAGATTGAAAACATGATTTTGGACAAAAATTAGAACCCCCTCAATTGTACATCAATTAAATCTGATACTTATCTGAGATTATCTAAGCATTAATACTTTCCTGAAATATCAGTTTTTCCCTGACCTGTTGTTTAAAAACGCGGTACATCTACGCAATCATACCTTTTTGGGAAATCCTTTTTGAAGGGAGACGACTTTGGGAGATGGAAGGCTGTAAAAGAACTTTCAAATGTTGTGTCAATCAATTTTAGTTTGCAGTTGGTATGGTGTATGGCAGAAAGAAACGTGCCTAAAAAAGGCGTATTTTCCGTCCCATACTTTTTGCAGGTGCTTGGTTGTGTTGCTGCTCAGTACATCAGGGTCTCTGGTGGATAAGTCTTGAACTCTTTGTCTCATTGCCATGACATCTGACTGCTTTGAAACCTGAAATTAATAGTAGAGTGCATTTACACGACAAAACTGTAACTAACACTGAAATTGTCATTGGTATTATTACCTATCAGGATTTGTATTTCCAAACAGTGTCTTCATGATTTACTTTACCTGAAGAAGGTGTTCAAGGATGATTGATGAGTCGTAGCCGGTTTTGTAGTCCTCCCTGTCTGCCAACTCAGCCATGTTGGAAAATGGAGGCTTTTCTATTTTAAAGCAAATATTCCCATGGTCCCACAGTAGACAGCATATCTAACTGTTGTGAACATCCACCATCCTGCTACTAGGATTAATGATCTGATGACTTAACAGTTGACTCTGTGTTTAGAATGTTACATGTAAAGCACCTTTCATATCACAGCCCCTGCGATTTCGGATGGGGTGGATTGTTTTGGTAATTTTTTCAAAGCACCGAGCGATTTCCCTTTTTAAGCATTTTGTTGTTGTTGTTTTTAAAGACAGTACAACATCTAAATAATTCTTTCTTAATGTACACATCCGTTTATATGACGATTCCACTTGGATTGGTGTATTTTGTATTAATATCGACCCACTGAAGTATGTTCAGCATTCATTGTACCAATATATCACGTGTCAAAATGTCTATAATGATCATGATTTGATTAAATTAACAGAAGTAAGAGTGGCGGTAAGAAACCCAGTTAAATCTGGGTTCGATTCTGTCACAATACGAGATGAATAAGGCAAAGGCGGAAATGTAATAAATGAAATTTATTACAAACATTATATATATATATATATATATATATATATATATATATATATATATATATATATATATATATATATATATGTAATGGAAAACAAAACAATTTCCCCAAATCCCCCGATCACCATTCATTCATACTGCATTCATCACCAACCATAATCATAGTACACAATCACTCCTATACATACACTCTACACAGAAAAATACCACAACCCAGTAGAACAATACATTTGTCTAATGCAACTATTTCACATAGTACAGAGTGTATACCACGTGTATCAAACACGAAATAGGACTGAATGTTCACTGATGATAAAGTTCAATTATAGTTGTAGCTCTTGTCACATTACATCAGGTTATGACGACCTCAGTCTCTCCCACGGTCAACCGTCCTGACGATGTATTCGCTGGTCAGTCAAATAAGGAGGCAACACAGACGCCACTTTTTTACAGGTCGAGGCCATCATACGGACCTGCCTCTTACACACAAGGCGAGGTAATCACACAGATACTCCTCTTACAAGGTCCGGCACAGGTCCCGGGCACTATACAAATATCAAAATAACATTTGATAGTTATCATTCAATGTACAACTCAGAATGATAGCATACATCATTCAACGTACTAAGAGCATTACATACTCAGAATGATATTATACTTTACAGGATGAATATCACAGCATTACATTTCACTTAGAACAACTTTTACGTTATTCCACATACAGGCAAGTAAATGTGTTGATTAAACATCTAATTACAACATTGTTTCGCACTGTAATACATATGACTGACAGCAAATAATTTACTTGCAACTCAATCGTGAGAAGTGACATTTTAGTATATTTTTTGCTCCAACATTTGATGATTGACAAAATGAAAACATAATCATCATTTAACAAATACCCATATTTACATAGCTCTACAATAATAATTACAAAACAACATGATACACATAAATATCCAATAACACAAATTTTACTCACGGCCATGAAAAAAGACCAGCCATCTTGCAAATACAGCCATCCTCATCAGAAAACTTTCATGACTGCACTCACCAACCCTTGATGCCTAATATAATCAAAACTCACACCTTGCATGCATTTCTTGCCATACTAGACCCTTCATACCACCTTGCATGCTTTGTAAACATTCCCACACCCTGGCACTCACCTACTACAGTCCAACGACACAAATCATACAGTTAAACCAAATCACCATGTGATCTTGACAGATTCCAAAAGCTGGGTACAGTGTGTGAAGCCCATTTGTGGTGTCGTGATATTGCTTCAATATTGGAAAACGATACCTCACACACTCACAAAAATGTTGGATCTTTTCTTAGGGATGATGTATACATTCTATACATGAAAATAGCTATTGGATACAAAAGGTGCTCACGATCTTAGTTTTGAAATATTTTATCACCTTGTTTTAAAGTGGCTCCATAAATTTCAAATGTTGTAGAAGTTGTGGCCTGTATTGTCCAGTCGGCAGTGGGACACACGCTTCCTGATGGGATATTCGGGGGAACACTCTTGAAGTTTGAAGTCACATGAGAAGTCAACTGGCCTTTGCCACGGAGTAGTCTGAAAGAGGACAAGAAGATGATATATGTGATCACTGATACAGCAATCATTATAGAGGTTGGAACGGTCGGAGAAGAATCTATACAGATTGTTTTCGTCAGCATCCTGCTCTTTCTTGTATAAGACCATTTGTTTGCTTTCAGCTACTGAGGGCAGGATGTAATCATACACTGTTGAACGATTAGTATGGATAGTTAGCATGTCCGATGCAAGGTCAGCCTCCTGCAATAAATAAATGTTGCACGGGCTATAATGAATGCACCATGATTATTGAACTTAATCATTACAGGTTCTACTCAAAGGTATTATCAATAGTTACATAAACAGCTTGTCCTGATATGAGTTTCTAAATTTGAAGAAATAAGGACAAAACCCACTGGGGTACAACCGTAGAAGTGGACGGAGTTGTAAAACTAAGGACATCGTTGATGCATCGTTAAGCAATACTCACTCACCCGCCGCCTGCAGAAAACCCAAACACAAAGTCGATCATCACCTAAATCAACTGATCATCATCGGAACTTGTTGCCTCGTACAAGCAACAAGCAAGGGAAAAGGGCATCAGCTGCCGCAACCTACCCTTCTCGCAGCATACCAAAGATTCCTGTCCAAGAACCATTAATGTTCTTGCCCAAATCATCTTCGCTTGGTGGTTTGAGCCTGTAACTTTTAAATAAGACTATATTCTTATATTTCGGGAGAATGACTGACATGCTCTAAGAAGTGATGGAATCGGAATGTTAAAATACATGTGTAAACGGTATTTTAAATTTCTTGTTAAAATGTAATCAATACTGACATTTCAGTGATATCAAGAGGACTTGCATGAGTTACAAGAATTATCAACTACCGCGAAAACAAACTTATGCAAACCCAAACTTATTTAGCTGTGTTTGTTTAAAGCCGCAATGTTCCAGCTGAATGACGGCGTTCTGTAAGCAATCGAATTTGAACCAGACAATCCAGTGATCAACCACATGAGCAGTTGGGATACGATGACATGTGTAAACCTAGTCAGTGAACCTGACCACCCTGTCCCGTTAGTCGCCTCTTACGACAAGCATTGGTTGCTGAAGACCATCTCTCCCGGGATCTTCACGGATTGCTTAATTTAGGACCGCTTCATACATGCGGTGTTGGTTTCCAGTGAATAAGTTCACCTGAAGTTCATCGCTTCAGCCAGCAGGCTCAGTACACGGTAAGGAAACCCAAACACCTTCCGCTTGCCCACTTCAAGGTAGCCATAGCCAAAGTTGTTGGTCTGTAAGTACAAATGACACCCACATTAACATACCAAATCAGTACCATTTAGGAACAAATTATAAATATTGACCAGGAGTTGAAAACCATGCATCTCATTTCAGCATTTGCATATTATAAAATTGTACCTACTGGTAAATGCATCGAGTGAGTGTGAAAGAACGCATGATTTAATTGATAATGCCAAGAAAAGTAAATTGCATCTCTTAATACATTTCCCCTTTTCTAGTGAGTGAAGCATTGCACAAAAGGGGAAACAAATATAATGACAATTTCTGCTGAATTACCTATATCCAATGGGGCTGACATTTTTCATTCACGTCTGTGAAAGCCCGTCCAATGGGGTGAAACATTAGAGTCCACATCCTTGCCCTTGTGAACAGCCCCTCCTATCAAACATTCATAAAGAGTTAAACACTGGCTTAGTCATGATGATAACTCATTGCAATTCCAAGACAAGCATCTTTACATGTGATTTGAGCGATTCTGTGACTCATGCAATCAAACAAGACTTCATGAAACTCAATGGTCTGAATTATATTTTGTATTTGAAACGTCAGCTTTTGTGTAGATAACAAAATCTGCATAGATGTGACATAGATTATTCAAACTGATCTGAATATCTGGCTAGAGTACATGTATCTGAACTGAGATACCAAGAAGGCCCCTTTATCCTCTTTGGCTTCACTGATTCAGTGCCAGTCAATGATTTTATTTCAGTATTAAGGTCTCAGGCGCTCGTAACAGTTAATATAATGACGGTATTTGTAACATGAGTGCAACGGCAAATATTTCCAGTTGTGAAGATCGGAGATTCATTGCATCTTTAATGTGATTTAACATTTAAGCTGACTTACATTAGGATTATCATCAAACGATCCATTGGGTTAGCATAAGTAAGGTCAATATTTTGAATCAATAGTAAAAGATTCTTTGCCCTCTGACAAATATCATTCTAGCAATTAAAAAAACTGTGAAAACAATCAAAGTGGCCGGAGCTTGACGACACACAGTTGCCTAGGTCACACCAGCGAGTTTCTTTCACGACCTATCAAGTGAATTCAACAAGCACAGGGTGGTGAAACATTTCTTGTCCCCTATCCGTCGATATCCCAGGTTTAGGTATGAATGTTATATTTACTTTCAACACTTGTCTTCTTGTGGTCATGGTCCTCCTATCGAACTGTGGTGATGAATCCATGACTCACCTGACTTGAAGGCAGTTCCAGCACTGCCACGTTCTCCACCTGGATGTTACTGTCCAGAAGTACAGGTAAGTCATCTGACGCCCCAACAATTAATACCCGTGAGACGTGACACACTTGAGTCTGGTGAAAGCCCGATAGATTTTCCTCATTTCTGTCACAGAAAGATGTTACAAAAATGTGTTCCAAGACATATTATCGAGTGAAAGAAAAAATACAGAAACATCATGAATATGTGTATTTATATATACCATAAATTAATATTATTTTCATTCTCTCAGAAGCATTTTAAATTTTTGGTCAGACACATTAAAACTCACCCCATGATGACACGGTCACTCTCCATACATAAGGTGGCACTGATAAAATACGCGTCAAATTTAAAGTAGTAAATAATGGTGTCATCTACTTGATCTGAGAAATCTCAGTTGTGGTGAACAAATTGTGAGCATTGCGAAAGGCACATTCAGATGTATACATCTACATGTTGAAATTCATAGACGTTATCTAGATCTCAGGTTGTAAGCGATTGAGATCAGTTCCTCGCCACTGTGAACAGTATTTCATTATGTTACAGCAGTGACATTCCAGTTTAATGTGAGAGAAAGGCCCACATTTAAAGGGGGTAGACCTTTAATTGTCCTATTAAATATACGTAAATGGTACCGCAAATTGCAAAAAGAAACCAACTGCAAAGAAACAACCAACGAATTCTGGGTCAGCAGCAAGACATTTAACATCAGTCCCCACTCATTGCAAACATTCGCCTGGATCTGTTGTGGGATGTATTTTGACGTTTGTTGCTCTGGAAGGCATTGATCATGTGAAGGATGCTTACTAGTATATATTTAAGCGATTGTTGAATATGTAAGGATTGTTTCGCATACCATCTGTCGTAAGATTGAAACAGTGGTTGTGACGTCACAGAGGAGCAGCATGTTGAAATCGGGCATGAGCACCTTCTATATTTATAAGTGTGACATGCAACTTTATGATAACGTTGATATTTGTAACGACGGTTTAAAGCTTCTTCATATATGATACTAAAAGTTCCCCGGATCCGAGGAAAAAAGACGTTAACCAAGGCCCTCTCAGTATCTGGTACATGACAGGGATGCAAAGGATCTAGAACAGATTCTCCCACCTTTTGACTCTGAATTTGCAACGAATTTTTAATGAAATAGCACCTTGTCCTTGTCTTAGCCTATGTATACAACTGCAATGTCAAATATTGATTTGCTCGAAAACATTGGCAGCCACAAAACATGTCCTTTCTTCATTCTGCTGTCAACCAGAATGATACCAGTGTTCAAGAATGACTTTGTTCCAAACTGTCACTTCAATCTAAGTTATGCAAGTTACTTTGTGACATCATTTTCAATAATATTTCAAGAAGTGATAAATTTCAAATGACCATTGTTCTTGTTTGTTTATGAATTCTTGCCCTAGTATTGTGCTCTACCTTTCAGTCGTCAGCCTGTTTTTATATTGTCCTGTCATTTATAGTTTCAATATTTTAGATTTATTTGCTAGTTTTAAATGGATATCTGTGATACACTAGTAGTTTTACTGTTCTTCATCAACAGGTCTTTTTTATTTCTAACTTTATTCATCTTTAATATAATTATAAAATGTTCTCGTCACGATATGGCTGAAATATTGCCGATGTGACGATAAATATTAACTCACTCACTCACTCGCTCACTATGAATTCTTGCAATTGTGAATTTTGATATTCAGGATTTAACATGTTGGTTCCGGTGTTCATTTGTCTTTTCCTCTCAAATAAATGTAGAAGAATTGAGCAACATGAACATAACTCGCATGGAATGGTGATCAATCTAGAGTTGCATACCTGTTACTACAATAAAACAACATGGTATCAAGTACTCTAAGTAACATAAGTACCTTGAAGAAATGCTTTCCATTGTTAATATTGGTAGTGAAAAAGCTAAAACCTGCTCGTATTGTGGAAACAACAGAGAGTAAATGAGCAAAGTTGCCATCACGTGAGCTAATGTCACAAAATAGAGCTGACTTACAATCACTGTTGCTGTGAAGTGTTCTGTACATTTAATGCGTTCTCCATGGATTCTTCAGACACTGGTGTCCGTGGATACGTTCATTTCCGATCACACACATTCGTCCGTATCAATGTCTGCTAATGTTAGTCCAAATATTCTTGATGGCAGCAAGAAAAAGGTAGTCTCTCTCACACACACACACACACACACACACACACACACACACACACACACACACACACACACACACACACACACACACACACACACACACACACACACACACACACACACACACACACACACTCACACGCACTCACACGCACACCATGACATGTTCAGTCTCTGTAAATGACAACAAAAAATCAATGTATAATCAGAAATGATATATTGAAACATCCAGTTTTACCTTTTTAATAATAAGTGAATACAATTGTAACTTTGATAAATAATTGACATGCACATCGTAAGTATGTGTACACAAGGCTGAATCAAACAGGTTTCCAATTCGCACTCCTTGTCATTCATATATGTAGTTATAGCCAGCCTTTAGGAAACTTTCTAATCCCGAAAATTCTCAATGAAACATGCCTTCAATGTTTTTTTATTCCACTCGCCTCCCCCACAGCTCTCGACATTTTACTACCACTTAAACTGTTTCCTGCCTCTCTCATTCAGGACAAAGTAATTTACATGGTCGCGATGGCCATATAACACTGTGATTAATTTTGAAGCCCATAAAGTCATAAAAAAGGATGTAAATATTTTTGTGCATTTACAACATTATTGCAATATTAGACTTTCGCCGATAGGTATTTAATCATCATGTCCTCAGTACGCCTCGGAGAATATTGTACGTGTTTAAAGCAAATGTATGGAAGACTCTCTACATTTTGTGTAGCAACTGACTGACTGACTGACTGAGTCTAGTTTTACGCCGCTTTTAGCAATATTCCATTAATATCACGGCGGGGAACACCAGAAATGGGCTTAACACATTGTGCCCATTTGGGGAATCGAACCCGGGTCTTCGGCGTGACGAGCCAACGCTTTAACCACTAGGCTACCCCACCGCCCCAGCAACTGAATGAACATAACTGAGCAGATAAATAATATTTTTATCAGAAAGAACAGGGACTTTTTTGAAAATACGTGGACTATCAGAGTGAGTTTAAATCCCATTTAGAGAGTTTGAACAGAGGCAATGTTTCTGAGCACTAATGGTAGTTATAGAGGCAAAAAACGTTTTTTGACACCCTGTTCGAAAGCTTCAGAGATGCACACTCCAACATTGCAAAGTGGGAATACTGCTCATCGTGAAGCGCCATACAGCACTAAGTCATATTTGTAATGACAGCAATATCCATTAGCTTCCTGTATGTACATGAGGATCACAGGGCAATACTAACACATCTACTCTGAATTGACCACCAGGATCTTGTTAGATGTGACCTGATGGACGGCCTTCCAACGTAATGACACACAAAGACCAAGGAAATCGAGAGTTCCTTTGGATTGATTATTCGGATTTATATTCAGCAATTATATTCATATCACATGATGCACGATTGTGTAACATTTACCAACGTATTAAGTGTTAAATGTGCTCAATGTATGAAAAGAAACGTTTATGAGACAATGTTAAATACTGAAATAAATATTATTGTTTTCCTTCTCAAATAATACTTCTGAGGAAGAAACCAAGGGAGATGTCCATCGCAAACGGTATTACGTTTTTCATCATACTAAAATGCGGTTGCTTATATACCCATTTCTTGACTTGGATTTCCCTTTCATCTATCTTTGTTTTTGCGTCATCTTATACCAAAGAATCTCTGCCGCCAGGATCACGAAGCTGCACACCACTCCGCCTCCACCAGCAAAGAAGATACTGTGGATCTTGATCAGTGACATGGGTTTAGGGAAGTCCTCCACTGGACACCCATCATGTGAGGTGGGTGGGAACCATTCTTGATAGGAGCGCTGCAAGACGCCACTGTCGCTGAGATAGGACATGCTGATGAGGACAAGATTAAACAAATCACTTCAAGAAGAGGATGCTATTGACTGTCACACATTAATGAATGTATTGAGATTAACCTCCCTTGTTTGTTTGATTTTCGGATGTTTAGAGAGAGTTAGATGCTCAGAATTTATATTCCAAGACCTTAAACGTTCAAATATGTTGTCCAATTAACAATTTTACAATAGTATGTATTCATTTTAATCCCCATTGAACCCACTGGGTTACGTGTTGTAATATGCAGAGCTATGTCCAAAGTGTGATTACGCAATGCCGTTTCCAAAGTGCTCACTCACCTAACCATTCAAAAGAACATATCAGAACAGTATTTACAAAACCTTTTATTGCACAATGTTGATTCGACGGATACGTTACCGAATTAAATAATAGGCCCATACCTTTTTTCGAAGTCTCTTTTGTAAGGGGAAGACTTCGGAAGATAGAATGCAATGAAAGCGTTTCCAAATTCGGTATCAATCACATTTAGTTTGCAGTTGGCATTGCTTAATGCTGTAAGTAGCATGCCAGATATGTAAGCGTATTTTCCATTCCAGACTCTTTGCAGGTGCTTGGTGTCATTACTGCTGAATACATCAGGGTCTGTGGCAGATAATTCCTGAACTCTTTGTTTAACTGCCATGGCATCTGGCAGTCTGGAATTCTGAAATTGATAAAGTAGGGACGATTCTTTTGAAATCTATTTCTTTCTATGTTAAAAATACATGCGTGCGTGTGCGTGTATTTATGTGATCCAATTGTAGATAGGGCTGTGCCTCAAATGTTTTTGTATATTTGTTCTGTAATGAGACAAATACCAGCTCTATTTTCCCAGCAGAAGCATACGCAATACTAACAGCTCTTAAATATATTAATAGACATCCTAAATATGAACAATATATCATATTTTCATACTCTCTTTCTTGCATTAAGGCTATTTACAATGTTTCTTGTAAACATCCACTTTTAATAGAAATTATAGAATTATATAATGATCTTGCTACTGGCCAATACGACATCGTCCTCTGCTGGTTACCAAGCCACGTTCGCATTTCTGGGAACACAATGGCCAATCTTGTTGCCAAGGCAGTACTACACAAATCAGTGACAGCACTTCTTATTCCATACACTGATTATAAAGCTGTCATCAGATCTTATATCCGTGATCTGATGCAGAAGAAGTGGGACACCCAAGTGGGTATAAATGAATTAAATGCAATACAACTTGGGTTGTCAGTCCAGATTTGAAGAGGTCATCATACGACGATGTCGTGTTTGTCACACAAGATACACTCATGAATACCTATTGAAAGGTGAGGATCCTCCGTTTTGCATCCCTTGTGATGAAAGAATCACGGTCAAGCATGTCTTGCTCAGGAAGCAAATGTACTGTAAGTCCCCATGGTCACTAGTATGGTGATCTACCTTCAGTTGTTTGCAATATGTAGCCGGTTTTTATTTTGTATTGTCTTCTAAAATTAAGCTGTTTTAGAGTTACATAATACTTTTATATTCATATCTGTGATATTCTAGTTGCTTTCACTGTCCATCGTTGACAGGTTTTTAAAACATTTACCTTGATGTACTGTAGAATTATTACTTTTTTAGTCACGATATGGCTGAAATATTGCCGATGTGACTTTAAATCTTAATTCACTCACTCACTCTGTAATGGGACGTGGTGTAGCCTGGTCACGCGGAAGACCATTCTGCAATTCTTACCTGAAGAAAGTTTTCTGTGATGCTTGATATATCATATCCTATTTTGTAGTCTTGTCTTGCTACCAACTCGGCCATGTTGGAAAATGGTGGATTGTGTTTTATCACAACAAATATGGCCATGATAGTCCCACAGTAGACAGCTGAGATAATGGCTGTGAACATCCACCATCCAGCGACCAGGATCCGCTCCGAATCATGTGATGATGTAACGGTTGATCCTGTATGTAAAACGTTACACATAAAACTCGTCCACACCGTAAAAGTCACTATCCGGGAGAAAACTGCCTTAATCATTACAATAACCATTAATTCGTACCCATGAGTTTTCTTAAAAGGCCTGGTCAATTTAAACCTACCAGGATTTTTCAACGTAGTATTCTTGTTATTTTAATTTTGGCTAACATTTCTTATAATCGCCAGCAGCTGAAGAGATGGTGTAAATCCAACTAGGGTCCATGCAGGTTGCAAAGGTACTGTAAGTCCCCATGGTCCCTAGTATGGTGATCTACCTTCAGTTGTTGGCGATCTATAGCCTGTTTTTATTTTTGCATTGTCCAAATAGTACTATCACTTTTAACTTTGAACACTAGTTTTAGTTGTATCGTCACGATATTGCTGAAATATTGCCGATGTGACTCACTCACTCTTTAATGCCTGCGTGATGTCATTTGGGAAAGAAATTAAAAACATTGAACATTGAACAATTAAAAATATATCAAATTCTATCAAATAACTTGTATACAGTTTATTACTGCAAATGTCATACACAAAACAAATACCACGAATCCTTCAGTAAATGACTTACTCATCATATTATAGGTACATACATAATACTGGAAACTTTTAAAAAAATAAAAGACAGGAATATTTCCAGCCAAAGGTTCTGAAAAATATTTTCTCACCCTGCTTCAGAGTGCCTCCCAGAATTTCAGATGCTGTAGCTGCAGCAGTCTCCATTGTCCATGCACCAGTTAGACCCTCATTGTTATTGAATTCGTACTTATAGTGGGTTATTCTTATAGCGGACAAGAAGATTATGCATGTGATCAGAGACACACCAAATGAAACAAAAACGTGAAGTTGGAACGGCCGGAGAAGGATCAGGAGATGGTCCGAGTCCTCCTCCTCTTTCTTGTATATGATCACTTGTTTGGTTTCCCCGATCGGAGGCAGGATGTAATCAGCAACTGAAGCACGGTCACTGTGGATAGTTAGGATGTCCGATGCTAAGTCAGCCTCCTACAACAATCACAAAGAGATTTTAAACATACCATGACCTAATTGTTGATATTTATTCATGGATGTTATTCAGACTGTTAATGATTGTCAAAACACAAAGGTTAACAGGATTTAGGGTAAAGGGTGAAGAGAGAATCCTGTATGGTCAATCTGCAGGAATTCCCTGCTGGAACATCCTGTAGAAACACACTACAGGAAAACCCTGTGGAACGCCTGCAGGAACACCCTATAACACCACCTGCAGAAGCACACACTACAGGGACACCCTTCACACCTGTCTGAAAAGACAAGGCACTAGTGTTTCAGCACGCAGACATTGCACTGATGAAAGTAGTTCTTGCTTGGGTGCCCACCTTAATTGATAGCTGTCAGCACAGAATTATTTATCCTTCCCAGGTTGGTAATTTGCTACTATCTGCCACTAACTACCCTTCTCTGCAGCATCCCAAACACGCCTGTCCAAGAACCATTAACGTCCTTGCCCCAGTCATCTTCTCTCGGCGGTATAATCCTGAAACTAATAAAAACGTCTTATGTTTTGTGATATTTAACAATTCAATGAAAATGAATAAACCTTGTTACAACAGTCTAGGAGAATAAGTAACATACTTTGAGCAAAGAAGTACCGCTAATCGTTTTACTCAATAACACACTGAGACCCAGAGGACGCTGTTTATGTTTATGTTTTACTGAGTTTTACTGGTCCGCCAAAGGCTTCTTTCTAATAGGACTGTTCGGCTTGTAACTTGTAAAATAGTTTTGCCCTATTTATGTGACAGATACTCTTTGTACAACACGTTCTTCTATATCAATCAATAAATGGGACTCAACCAAACAAAAGTACAAGAATCTGTACTTTACAAAGAAAGTACAATCCCAAATATCTAATATGTTACATTGCAGGACCATTTTCTGAATGGGATTGTGTATTCAATCATAATCTCACCTGAAGTTCATAGCTTGAGCCAGCAAATTCAGTACACGAAAAGAAAACCCGAATAACCTCCGCTTGTTCACTTCAATGTGGCCAAAGCCATAGTTGTTTTCCTGTAAGTGCGAACGAGGGGACACATTCACATCATAAATGCCTGGTGCATTGTGACTAAAGGAGACATAGCAACATTGTTATCAAAAATGAGTTGATGGGGTTCAAGGGGACTAACGAAGTGCTTGACACAATTCCAGGTATATGGCGGCTATCTGTGAACAGCTGAGTAAGGTCCCCAACATTCAGCGACTGACATCATGGGCATCTTGGAAAACGATCACATGTATCAAGCCAAGATCACCACACGATCCTGTTAGTTGTCTCATTTGGAAATAGGTTATCAACATGAATTGCATGCAAACGTAAAGGCTTGGAGGTTTACTTCCCAGCATCTGGCAATTTCATGGGAACAGTATGGTCAAAAGAGGGGCAACCCTTTCTTTGTTGGATACTCCCATTGAACTTGATTATCAGCACATCAGGGAAAGTTTTAGTCGCTCTAAGTAAGAATATGTATAGGTGACAATAGACAGTTCGTAAAAAACACATTTTATTTACTATGAAAATAACTTATGCTACCTTCATGACGGCAGTAAATTGGCGTCCATTATACCCAAACTTCACGTTTGGGAACACGTCCGTAGGATTTCTTACTGTTTCATTGCAAAGAGCCACGTCCGTGAAAGCGCGTCCATCAGGGTGGAACAGCAGTGTCCACATCCTCGCTTTTGTAGAATTTACCTGGTATTAAGAAGCCATGCACTAGTTTAACAGTGACTTATTTAACTGTTTGAAATTCCAGAGGAAACCTTCTGCTTAGTAACACCAGAGAGTCTGTGCCAGCTGACTTACGGCTTGTGCCGTGACCCATGATACATTATGATATTTATTTATGATATTTATATAGCGCACATATCCGCGTAACTAGCTAGTACATGCTAGGGGCACGGTTGGCGAGCTAGCTAAAGCGCCAGGCTAGTGATCCATGACTACAATACAGCAAATCACACAATAACATACCGTACAATACGTTTATGTTACCTAGAATGGGACACCGGGGAAAACTTGTGCCCAGGATCCTACTGGTGTTGAGTCTGACGTAACTTTAAAATGATGTATTGTTGACAACATTCCATATCTTGACGGTATGGTCTACCAAACGTGCAAATAGCTTACCTGACATGAAGGCAGTTCCAGCAATGCCAAATTCTCCGCCTGGACGTTGCTGTCCAAGAGTACAGGTAAGTCATTTGATGTCCCGACAACCAGCACCCTTGAGACGTGACACCAGTCAACCGAAGAGTTGGATCTTGTTCCACAGATTCGAGACTGGTACATTAAAAATAAATCAGTTATCAACGTGATACGTCTTACAATGAAATCAGATAGATGGACGTGTTAGGGGTCAAACCGTCAAATCAGTATCAATGCTGTCAATGTGTTTACCACGAAGGGTCCCAACGGAACCGATGAACCTGATATCTTTCAGAGTGGGTGTGAAATGTGTGTTTCAAAATGAATAGGGGAGTAAACACATTTTGTGAACAAAAGTTTACGCCGGTACGTTCCCGGATTGATCAAATAATTTGTTAAAGTCACTTATCAAACAATGCCAGACATAAGTCCTGTATTTTAGCTGAAAAAGAATTCTGTCAAATCCATACATCAGTGCAATGGACTCGTGACTTGAATCTAAATCCTACAGAAAGTTCCATTCCCTTTTTGGACTGGATTTCAAAACGAAGTACAAAGACAACGTTGACAACGTTATGGGTGCACTTATTGTACCACAAACTTCCTGTGTAAAAGTTAAACCATATTCCTCTGTGATTGTAGTAGGGACTAACAAGTGGAATTTATACCATGGAGGTTCTTAAAAAACAGGTTTTATTTTTCACTGTCAGAAACAGCTCCAGTTATGCCAAAACTGTTGAAATTTCAACTTTTCACACTACTAGCATTAGATAATTTTTAAGACAACACTTCATTCATTGATCCACGATGCATTTATTCCTTTCCATGGTGACATCAAGTGAGATATAGATATAAGTCACACGATGAAAACGTTCTTCTTCTTAACGAAGCGTATGAATGTATATGGTTTGACGTACCAGTTGACGTAAAACTGAAACAGTCCTAGTGACGTCACAGAACAGAAGCACATTAAAGCGAGGCTGTACACGTTTCTCCACATCTCTCAGGATTGTCAGCAGGTGTTGTTCGGTGAACGAACTGATGTCATAGTCAACACTGGAAATACCTGAAGTTTCCAACGAGCTGGTAAATCGTATATCTGAAACAAGTTAGAAAGCTAAGTATGTTATCACTTAATTATATATCTTGTAAGTTCTAGAATGTGAACCCTTTCCACACACGCACGCACGCACGCACGCACGCACGCACGCACGCACGCACGCACACACACACACACAATCCAAAATTCCCAAGTAAATGACAAATTCCAAAAGCTCAACATTCGCCTCTTGTAGTTGACACTAAACGATCATAGTAACCTTATATTTAATAAATGAATTTATCGTTTAACTAAAGTATCTATAAGTGTATGGCATATAAACATATATGCCCATCCCCAAATAACATACGTATGCAAATTAGATATGCTAGTTATATAACATTTTAAAGGACATTTTGTCGGTTTGATTCGAACGCTTAACATCAGTGACATTATACCAGAGATGTTATCAAATGACACAGAAACGTTCTTCTTACCGTTACTAGTTTCAGCTATTGTGCAAGACTCTGGTCTAGTATATTTTAAATAATCCAAGGACTTTATTAATACATCAAAACGGAAGTTAACAGGTTGTTTTTTTTATTTTGGTTCACACTATAACGGAAAACAAGTAATATTACTCTCGTAAACGTAATATTGACACGCTATGTCGCTAGTTTCAGGCCACGTGGCAGTAGTGACTCGTACTACTGTGCATAGCTCTTCAGTGTGCTTTGCTGGATGGCCCACGAGGACCAAAAACTTTATGATTGCTTTGTACTCAAGCTTATCCATTTCTGCCGTTTCAATAAGGGTATTTGTAATCACATGTCCCGTGACCCGAAACTAGCGACAGGTGCATGTCAATATTACGTTGATGTCAATGATATAAACCATTCTTCAATATCATTCAGTTATTTTTATCATGCTCATATCAGAAGTAGTTTAGGCTCAAAACGTTTTGATAGCTTCTCGAACGTAAGATTCCGACAAGATTATGATGTCAAATTGGATGCATATATTTATCAAAAAAGAAAAAAAACCACGAGTGATGTACAATCATAAATAGAATTCGTCAATCGTGTTTTCTAATATGGGAAATACCAACCTCGTCACGTTAATAGGTATTTGCCTCACAAAATTTACACAGCAAATTTAAGAAAAAGGATGACAGACGGCAGGAGTGAACAGTGAAGGTCAACGTCATAGCAAGGACTATTAAGAAGTAACATACGACATGCTGTGCGAATTCCACTGAGTGCCTTATATATACTCTCTGTAATGACTTAACATGGCCTGTAATGGGAAACTCAATTGAACAGTTGAATTGTCTTTCAGTGCAAAATGAAATAACACACACATTTTGACAAGCATGAACAACCGGGAACGGCTACTCTCTCTGGATAGGAGCTCGTGGAGCTCTGAATGATCGTGAACATGATGGAACTAAACAACTGGAAAATCGATCTATTCCCTCTTGTCATACAATTTGGCAAAGACATTGCCATCACTATCGGGGCATAGGTCCAAGTAGAACACAGAACAGGGCTCAGACACGATCTGTTTACAAACACCACAATACTGCTGAAACAAATACCTGCTCATGTTATAGTCACAATTGTACAATTGACTCTTCCTTTAGCACATACTTCTTACTGATAGGAAAAGGGGTTTGTCGCTTCTATTCTCACTTGTGAAATGTCGATGACATGAACTGAATCCACTCATATCATTCGCAAACAATTATGTCGACATGACAAAGGAACAGGTGTGCAGCAGAAGGATGTTAATTAGTTGCATGAACACTATTTCAGTACCACAATACGACCTTAAACATTGAATACACAAATACCCAGAAGTTCAATTGTTACTCCAACTGGAATAGATTCTTGTGCCTAGTTTGTGAAGCGAAACATATGGTCATATTTCCCAATATCGACGAGCAGTGATGCAGCACAGACTCAAATAACTCCAGATCATGCTAGACATGCTTCTACGTCGATTCGACATCATATGTGAATGATCAGAATTGTTCAACAAATACGCTCTGAATTTGGACGTGATCAAAATACCATTTCATTTGAAGCGTCTATTTGACTGTTTTAACATTATATACATGTACATGGACATTACTAGGATGATGTTGTGGATTCGATATTTAATATATTCACAGAGCCCTTTGTGATATTGATTTGTTGTATTTACAGTTTTAAGTGTATTTACGAAGCACTCTAAAATGTCTTTGATGTGTGAAGCGTAATGGTGCCCCAGACTAAACAATGTTTAACATCTACGTAGATGATACTGACATGTAATACACTTCTATATTGATGGACATAAACTATCGGATTCTTCATCTCAATTCATGCCTAAACATATTCCATTTGGCATAAATGGCAAAATCATAAAGTAGATCTATCTAAAATCTAAAATATTTCGAATAAAAGTGACCTGTTTATGCATTTATCACTGGTATTTGCATATTTATACAATGCGTGTACAATACGTGGGACAGATAGTACAGCATAGTCTATTTATCTACAAACTAAATGTTCGGCCAGGAGATAGTGAGGTATCGACATATTCCTATCAACCTGAAAGGATAAATAACCCGTTCACATGAGGTTCCCATGGCAACGATTAGATTTAATCGATGATTACTTTGTTTGACTGTTTAATGATTAAAACATATTGATGCTGCTACAGACGTGTAGGGCCCATCCTGCGTTATAGGTATCCCTCACTAGGTATTCAGGTTCGTGTTTCTGTCTTCTTTAATACTTAAAATGTAACATTTGCAGTAAAGTGGTAGCAACGTTCAGTTTTCTAACGTCACTCATACACCTCGGCTTTGTGTAAAGATATCTCTATGACATATAGTTTAGCATTACACTCACACTCACTCACTCACTCACTCACTTAGGGCGGTGGGGTAGCCTAGTGGTTAAAGCGTTCGCTCATCACGCTGAAGATCCGGGTTCGATTCCCCATGTGGGTACAATTTGTGAGTTCCAATTTTGGTGTCCCCAGCTGTGCTGTTGTTGGAATGTTGTTAAAAGCGGCGTAATACTCACCCACTCACTCGCTCACTCTTTCGCTCACCCACTCACTCACCTGCCCACCCACTCACTCAGTCACGTGGTGTACTTTTTTTGTCAGCGACCTGGGCGAGCCATTATTTCTGGTACACATTTTGAATTCTATGTACTGATCATTAGTTCACATTAAGCTGTTGACTAATCAAGCTGTTGATTGATCCTGTCCGATTCATTCCCATGATTTGCTTATGCATATCAGTATTGATTTGGGTTTAGCTGGCAAAATGTATGCTAACACGAACTGACACAAGCTGACGATCAATTGCTTGACAAATACAGTTTTCCTTGCACATGAGTTTTTCATATGACCTAGTGTGAACAGTATATGTGCGTGGGTATCGTACAGATGTGTTAGTGTTTGCAAGCGAGTCGGAAATATTGGAACATTT